TCCACATTTCTCTCTCACTTTCTCCTTTTTTCCTCTGTCCTCTTTCTATATTCTTTCGGCTTTATCCTTGCCCCTACCCCAACCCCCCCTCTCTCTCTTTCTCTCTCTCTCTCTCTCTCTCTCTCTCTCTCTCTCTTTCTGTCTCTCTCTCATCTGCTTCATATATATACATGTATTTAAAGAAAAAAAAGTAAACCGTATTTGTCTTTTCTTTTCTGTCTCTCATAAAACGTTAGCCTAACGTTCCCCTCGCTGTTCTCTTTGCCGCGCTTTGACTCTCCATCTTTCTGATCTGAGGGTAAAAATAGAATCATCCATTGGTCCCTGGTTCGACCATAATATTATGGATGGAAGACCGTCTAACAGTTTATGAATTAATTACTATATTATATATAATGCATGTATTCATTTTATAACATTGTATAACATTTTATCATTCCATTCGTTCCTTGCTCTCTCGTTAGACCCTTTTAGGGGCTGTCGTGGTCTAGAGGTTGCGGTGTTCGCCTCTATTTCAATAGGTTCTGGATTCGAAACCTGACAGCCACGGAAAAATCTTTTTCTCTAAAATTGCGTCCTTTCACCTCCTTTCTGCCCACTAATCATTGTCTATTGTGTGCTTTTGCCTCTCGGGGAAATTTCAAAATTAATTCCTACCAAATTGAAAAAGTTCATTGTGTCCCCCACGCTCACAATATGACCGTATGCAGTTGCGAGCACCGTAAAACACTTACCAAAACAAACAAAACAAAGACTCTCTGAACTCCCCACCCCTCCCCCAAACCAGTCCCATTTCTTTTCTCTCCCACCCATCTTTATTATCCTAAATCTCCCCTCTCCATGTTTTCCGGTAAGATTATCTCAGTTTTGTCCTCCCCTGCCCTCCTCACCTCACCCCTTTCCCCAGCAACTCGCCTCCTCCTAGTCCTAGGCTATTCCCACACAATTACCCCCCCCACCCCAACACACACACACATCTCTCCCGTACAAACGCCACCCAAACACAAAACCAGCCTAACTAACCTAGATCGACGTACACGTTCTCTCCTAGCGTCTAGAGCAGAGTCAAACCCATACCATGCACATCCACACACTGCACCACACACACACACACACACACACACACACACACACACACACACACACACACACACACACACACTTACACAACATACACACTCCAGATTACGAGCACAACACGCCACATGACTGACATGACTGACATGACTGTATTTTACCACCACCACCACCACCACAAACACACAGACACAAACCAGCAGCTGAAGAAAGGTGAAAAATCCAATAATAAAGGCAGATCCAACATCAAAACAGCAGATAGTCGTGACTGGTGGAGCCACTCTCCTAACGTCGTCCACACGGAGAGAAGAAGGCTCAGAAGAAGGGAGGAAAAGTATCCACGATCCACGTAAAATCCAAAGCCAAGCGATGAGTGCGGAAGAAAACAACAGAATCCCGAATAGCCCACGAGAAAACACGGTAAAAACACAGCACACCACCACAAACTGGCACGATTGTTGGTAAGCACACGAGTAGAAGAATCTAAAAATCCGATTGCAGAAGTAGAAGTAGAACTAGAATCTAGATCTAGTCGCTGCTGCTGCTACTGCTGAAGCTGTGGTTGTTGTGAAAATAGTAGATCCAGATGTAGATCTAGGCCTGGATCTAGAAGTCCGCCGTTTTCCACCTTACAACAAGCAGCACGGATCATCCTCACCATCCTCATGATGAGTTGGTGGTGCTGCTGCTGCTGCTACTGTCGAAGTGAGAAGAATGGGAGAAGAGGAAGAGGAGGAGGGGAGTAGAAAAAGAGGAGGAGGAGAAGGAAGGCGGGGAGATGAAGGAGGTCCTAGCGCAGGAGGACCTGGGTCCGACATTGTTGTAGTGTGGTGGTTGTGATCATGAACAAGAGAAAAAGACGGCGGCGGCGGCGGCGCGCTTCACTGCAGGCAGGCACGCAGCTAGAGCTCCCTCAGCGACAACACTGAGACTGAACTGACGGGGTGACTGGTCAGAAAACCGCTCGAGTCGAGTCGAGTCCGACCAGGAGGCCAGGCGAGGCAGGCAGGCAGGCAGGCAGGCAGCAAGCAAGCATTGAAGCAACACGCGGGCCAGCTCTAGGAAGGAGGGGGAGGAGGAGGAGGAGAAGGCACACACAAACACTGCGCGCACATACACACGCACGCACGCACGGGCGGACACACGTACGTCGTCGTACGGGGAGTAGTGGTGGGCAAAATCCAGATAACCGATCCGGATAACCGGATAATTCTCAATGAAACGTCCGAATTCAGACTCTTTATTAAACTCTCTTTCCTAACCCGTTGGCCGAAGTGGGTGCTCCAATTTTGTTGAAGTGGTTCTCTAATCCGTTTGTCGAAGTGGTTCTAACCCATTTGCCGAAGCGGTTCATAACGCGTTTAATTGCCGAAGAAGGGCACTAACATATTATCCGAATTTTGTTAAAGGGACTCATAGCCCAGCCCAAACTGGGAGACCTGCAGAACACAGACGCACACACACACACTACAACACTTCACAGTAACACCGCAGGCAGGCAGGCAGGCACGGGAGAGGAGGAGGAGGAAAGGAGGAAGAGGGGAGGGAAGGGAGAGGCGAGGGCTTGCTTTGCTTGCGTTTGCCTGTACTGTTGGAGGCCTGCCCGCTAACGATTCAACAACCGTGCGCTGAGCTCTCTCTCTCTCTCTCTCTCTCTCTCTCTCTCTCTT